ACTGACAAATATGTTGTCAGCCTTATTAATTTTTAAGGTGGAGTGCTGTTTTGTGGTTTGGAAGACACAGTGATATATGACGATGGTGAGGTTAGAGCCTGATTGTTAAAAGGCTGAAGGTGTAAAGAGGGTTTATTTATTAACCTCTGAGGTGAGCAACTGAGATTCAAGAAACTTTACCAAAAATATTTCAGTGTGGACAGAGGCAGATGAAAAGATCTCCATTTGCATCATCTTAATTTGATGGATGATGACAGAAGAAACAAGGGGAAAACTGAGTTTTCTATAAATGAAACATTAAAGCATGTGCTTTAGTCTGTGTCCAATTCAATAGGAATAGTTGCCTTTGAAATTACCATGGACTCAAGATGTGCCCATTATTTTTACACGAGTAGCTGCTGCCCTCTGCTGGAATTTTCATTTATCGCAATTCAATTCCTCAGCACTGTTAAGTGGTTTAGCTGAATTTAAAAAAAAAGGAAAAGCATTTTTTTCTTACTGTATGAATCAAGTTCATGTATCATGTATGCTGCAATACATCCTTAGTTTTTCACACTCTATTAAATATTTAAATGTGTGGAATACTGAAAAGACATTTTTAAATTATTATTTCTGATTATAATAGTCACATTGAGTTTTTCACACAGACATGAACATGAAAATAGCCTCCTACACCTGTGTCCTACATTAACTTCTGATAGAACATAGATGGTAAAATGCTTGGATTTGAAAAGCCTGACACTTCTACATCACGCTGTCACTTAACCAGGGGCGCCTCCTGAAAATTTGATAAGGGTGGCCAGACGGGGCCAAAGAAGATTTTGGGGTGGCACACATGATTGGTCCTTGTTGTAACTCTGGGAGAGTTTAGCCTGTGGTGATGCCTTGCATTGCTCCTTTATTTATTTATATATATATATATATATATATATATATATATATATATATATATATATATATATATATATATATATATATATATATATATATATATATATATATATATATATATATATATATATATGTGTGTGTGTGTGTGTGTGTGTGTGTGTGTGTGTGTGTGTGTGTGTGTGTGTGTGCAAAATACATAACTCAAATTTGAGAAACACATTTCAGCTTTATGAAATGTTATTTAAAATTTTATTTTAGAATTTTGTTTTTTAGTTTGAGTCACCTGTCTTCATAAAACAACATTTTTTTATGGTGAGCACCAGAAACGCACACACAGTGCAATCACTCATTCACACACTGGAGATGATGAGCTACGATGCAGCCACAGCTGCACTGACAGAGGCGAGGCCTGCCATACATTGGCACCACTGGTCCCTCCAACCACCACCAGCAGGCAAGGTGGGTTCATTGTCTTGCCCAAGGACACAACAGCAGCATTCTCTGGTCGGATCGAACCTGCAACCTTCCAATTACTGGACAACCCGCTCTGCCTCCTGAGCTACTGCTGTCCATTAAACTGTTGAGTATTTAGCATCAATCAAGTGAAAGAATCTCACAAGTACACCACCACATCATCAGTGTGAAACTCTGAGTTCTGGGAAGGAAGGCTGCAGCTTGTGCTCAAACAGAGAAAACATGTCGAGCTGTCAACAAGTAGTCAGTGTCACGTTTACCTCGAGGCCACGACACAAGCTGCTTCACCAGCCTGTCGGGAGTTATCTTTTTCTGTAATCTGAGACTTCACCATTAAAAAGGACGAGGACAAGCCTATTCAAATGTTTCAGAGTACACCTGAGAGGATATAAGGGGGAAAAAACCAGGTGGTGCAAGTTCAGCAGGTTCGTGTCTCATGTTTTGTTCAACGAAAATAATCATGTCTGCAGAAGTTTCTGTTTCTTAAAAATGGAATTTATATATATATATATATATATATATATATATCAAGATGGACCTCAAAAAATGTAAAATCCATGAGGGAAATTAGATGTTGTGACTCGTATTATTTCAAGCAATAATTAAAACAATAAAATAATAGTTACAGTAAAAATCTCACATTTAATGTTCTTCAAAGAGTCACTAAAGCAGGAAGGATCTCCTGTAGCGGTTTGTGTTACAGGTCTGAAGAAGCCTCCGACTGAGGATGATGTGTTGTTGCATGATGCTGTCATCAAGAGGATGCTCAGGGTTGTCCTTCTTTGCACCATCATTCCCAGTGGTTCCTCAGTAGTCCCCAGAATAGAAGCAGCCTTTTTGTTTATCAGGTTGTTGATCCTTTTTGAATCCCTGGCTCTGATGCTGCTGTCCAAACAAGTGAGGGCCCAAGATATTATACTCATAGGTATAAAAGATATGCAGCACGTGTATGTGTGTGTGTGTGTGTGTGTGTGTGTGTGTGTGTGTGTGTGTGTGTGTGTGTGTGTGTGTGTAATATTTTACAGTGCTTTGAGTTACACTCATATGAAAAGCGCTTCATTAATAAAATTTGATCTAATTTGAAACAATAAAGGATCTGAGCTTCCTCAAGAAGTAGTCTATGCTGACCTACTTGTAGACGGCGTCACTGTTGAGTTTCTAGTCCAGTCTGTTGTCCAGGTGGACATCAAGGCATTTGCATTATTTGACCACCTTTGCTTCTTCTCCCATGATGCAAATAGAGCGTTTCTTCTGACATCTACAATCATGTCCCACACCGTGCCACAAATCTCTCCACCAGCTCTCTGTACTCTCTGATCTCTGATGAACCTCGGGTACTTTTACAGGTTAACTGTTTCACAAATCATCTTTCGCAAATGACGTCATTATTATTATGTTACAGTAAGAGGTGACAAATGTTACTTTGAACTTTGAATTTTTCAACATCCAGAATTTTACGAGATATAACTGATCAAAGGTCTTTCGTTTTACCATCCAGGTAAATATGCTTTTAGTAAAATGTCAGAACCTAAATAAAACAAACAAAACAAGTTCTCCAAAAGGCCTCTGGAGCTTTCTGTCCACTGAGTGGCACTGTAACGACCCCACAGACAGCAAAGCTCTCAGGATGAGCACCATCAGGATGTGAGGAAAGGCTTTATCATCCCTGGAGTTCACTTTCAAATGTCTGATATGTGCTAACATGTTTAGATTCAAAAAGCTACATCCAGACCGGAGAGGAAAGGAGATGCAGTACGATTTAAATCCAGGACACAACAGTGCCAGGGGGATGGGAAGCATGTTTGAAATAAAAAGGTCTGGAGTTTGTTAAATCAGCTAAACTGCATCACAGTCCTGGGTGGTCCCACGTTAGAACCCAGCTCCAGGGTCTGAGGAAGTCCTCAAACTTGGGGATGTTTTACCCTCCAGGTGAGGTTTCCCCCCCGTGAGGAGATTTTGTTTTTCTTGGAATAATTTGTTTAATTGGAGAAAGTTAACCACATGTTACACTAACAGCAGACCGGGGTTTCCAACTCATCCGCAAATCCAACTTTGTTTTAAGTAAACAAATGATAGCATGTATCTCTTTAAATAATAAATCGTGTGTGTGTGTGTGTGTGTGTGTGTGTGTGTGTGTGTGTGTGTGTGTGTGTGTGTGTGTGTGTGTGTGTGTGTGTGTGTGTGTGTGTGTGTGTGTGTGTGTGTGTGGATTCTAAACTGGCGTTCTATGCCCTACACAGAGTTATTCTCGGGTTGGAGATTAATAAATAGATCTACTTCCACAAAGTTGGACTGTGTTCTAATAAATTGCATGTGAGCAGAATTGGAATGCAGCCCTCATTAACACACCTGTGCTAGTTCCAGCCTAAACATCAGCTGTGAGACTGGTTTTTCCTGACAGATCAGCTGATTAGACCAGGAGCAACAAATGAGGGTTTTTCCCTCTGGAAACAGTTTGTTGTTGCTGTTACCAAAATTCAGATCTGACCACACTTGGTAAGGTGGAACCTTTCAATTGGAGACATGCTTTTATTTTGACATTGCAGGAAAGGTTTTGAGCAGTTCACAGGTAATTTAGTCACTTAATTAGACATGTTGAAGCTACTAGATATATGGACACCCTCTAGGAACAAAACTGAACATTAAAAATAACTTTTATAAGGGGGCGATTCCTGGACTCAACATAAGTTGGTTTGATGTGCTCTTTGGATGGGAAGATACAGTTGAAAAAACAAGAGACACTCCAAGGCACTCTCAAATAGAAAAAGTAAAAAAGCCTGTAATGGCTAGGTCACATATGGTCTTTTTAAAACTCCAACGCGTTTTGAGGAATGTAGCATTTGTCAGGGAGTCCTGACATGAAACTGAACACTACTTTTACTTTACTAAAACTTTAAATGTTGCGAACTGCCCTTGGCTAATAGCAACAATTCCTAAAGACTCTGAGTTTCAGGGTATTTATTTATTAATGTTTAGCTTATTATTAATGGTTTAAACCTGACTTTGGTCCTCAAAGATGCTTGTTTTTGTGGTTTTTTGTTTTAGCACACCAAATCTGTGTGTGATCTACAGAGTTACCTGCTCAACAGGTATTTCAGCCATTGAATCAGGTGAGTTAGAACAAGAAAACAAATGACTCGTGGGGACAGGGTTGGACATGACAAATTTAAACACAGTTTTGTTGACCTGTACTTGGCTAGGATAAGAAACTGTTTATTTTACCATGTGATAACATTATTTCTGAAAGAGAATTTTACAGCTATGTATTATGCTTGCATTTATGTTGTAATTTAATTCTTTTATTTATTTATTTATTTATTTATTTATTTTGTGCTTTCTTCCTCTGAGCCCAGTCCCCTGCGCTACTTCCCTTCCACCACACGATGTCGCTTCGGGCTAATCCGCGCCTGGACTCTGCTGGAGCACATTTTGTCCCACACGGCTTTGCGTCCATCACAAACAGCAACCATGTTTTTGTGTGTGTGTGCGTGTTTTTCCCCGTCCTTTGGTTTCAGTGTTTATCCCCAAAACCCCTTTCTGAATAAGTTTGTTTAAACGAGATAAAACCCTCTCTCAGCGGCTCAGGTGCTGCCTTGAGCCGTCCAATCACCGACCCGCATGTTCTCGCTGACCAATCAGAGACGCGCGCGGCCCCGCTCAGCTCTTTATAAAGCCGGCTCTCCAGCTCGTGCTGGTACCGGAGAATGAGAGAACCACTAGCGACCCAACACAGAACCTCACATTGGACCTGTCAGTCCTTTAGTTTTTATTTCAATTTCCTCGTTTCTCCAGGTAACTTTACCTCTTTTATTCACTCGTTTTTAATCTGCGGCCAAACAGGCCAGGAGAGCAACTTGAACTCCTTTTTCCTGCAATGAATATTTCTATCGACTTATTTAATTCATTCAAACGGAACCTTTTTAATTGTGGCAGCATTAAGTAGGTTGGTTTCATGTCTTATCCTATTTTAATTGCTTGAATGTCTTTTTCTTTGTTTGAGTATTTGTTTCCAGGAAACAGGATGATGTAATGCCACCTCTCTTGCAGTCATTATTTGTAATCACGACTGTTTCAACAGCGTAGATTAAAGATGCGTTCGGCTCAAACTGGTTTCTTATCTGCAGTTTTCTACGTGATCCCTAAAATCCTACTAAATATGTTCTCATTGGTCAAACGCACGCGGTAAAACGTCGTATTGAAAATGAGAATAAACTGGAAATGTGTCTTGTTTTACGTTCTCAGCGTGGTTTTCGTCACCCTCCCCCTTCTGGAAAACCCAAAACAATGGCGGTGTTTTTGTGGGGTTGTTTTTGACGCACCCCCACCCCCAAACCCTTGTTATGCAACAAGTGGTCCACTGCGCACCCCTTGTTTCTTACCCTCTGTCCTCTGCTCCTTTCCAGGTGTGTTATAGTAATAAATAAGATGGCCACGTCCGCCAGCGCCTGCTTGAGTAAAGCTGTCAAGCAGGAGTACATGAAGCTCCCGCAGGGCGATAAAGTCCAAGCCATGTACATCTGGATTGATGGAACAGGAGAGGGGCTCCGATGCAAAACGAAGACTCTTGATTCTGAGCCGAAAAGCATTGAAGGTAAAATAAGTTCCATTAAAATGCAGCTGGTGCTGTGAGTCCTCTGCAGTGTTTATATCTCCCTCTGCTACTTTGTTCCAGATCTTCCTGAGTGGAACTTTGATGGCTCTAGTACCTACCAGTCAGAGGGCTCCAACAGCGACATGTATCTGATCCCTTCTGCCATGTTTCGTGATCCATTTCGCAAAGACCCCAACAAGCTGGTCCTGTGTGAAGTCCTGAAGTACAACCGCAAACCTGCTGGTAAAGGAACCTCAGCTCTATTAAAAGTTTGGTTTTGTTGATCAGGTGCCTTGAATTTTTGCTAAAGGGTCAAGTCTTGACATGAACTGGACTACCATCAGAGTCCAATAAGCTCTTGAGTGACATCCAGTCCCTCATTTGTTCTCAAGCATAGTGAACAGTAAGGTTGATGGGATAGATAACTAGAGATGTGCAATATCAGCTTCTTTTAACCGATATACCAACAACAAACACCTCAACCACAAGAGTTTGGATCTGTCATTTTTTTGACTTTTTGAATAAGAGAAGTAGCTGAAGAATTGTGTTTTTGGTATGTCGAAGTCGTAATACAATGAGGATAAACTGTTACCAATAATGCCAATATTGGCCAATACCGGACATCCATTGAAACGAGTTTTAAAAAAAATACAGTTGCTAACTGTCGTTCTCTTCCCTCTGCAGAAACCAACCTTCGCATCACGTGCAACAAGGTGATGGAGATGGTGGGGGACCAGCATCCTTGGTTTGGCATGGAGCAGGAGTACACCATCCTGGGCACTGACGGACATCCATTTGGCTGGCCATCTAATGGTTTTCCAGGACCACAAGGTGAGAACCCAACGTTTGTCTTCATTGTGAATATAGAGTGGTCGTTGTCCACCATTTTTAAAACTGTATGTCTTTCAGGTCCGTATTATTGTGGTGTTGGTGCTGACAAAGCCTACGGCAGAGACATCGTAGAGGCACATTACAGGGCTTGTCTGTATGCTGGAGTCAACATTTGTGGAACAAATGCAGAAGTGATGCCTGCTCAGGTAATAAGAGCCTAATGTGTGTGTGTGTGTGGTGGTTTTTATAGCCAGTCAGGTGAGGATCAACTTCTCCTTGTGTGTTATTTAGTGGGAGTTTCAGGTTGGACCTTGTGAGGGGATCGACATGGGGGACCATTTGTGGGTAGCGCGTTTCATCCTGCATCGGGTATGCGAAGATTTTGGTGTTGTTGCCTCATTTGACCCGAAGCCCATCCCAGGAAACTGGAACGGTGCAGGCTGCCATACAAACTTCAGCACTAAAGAGATGAGGGAAGACGGAGGATTAAAGTGAGAGGACAAATCTTTGAAGTACATTTTTATAAATTGCTGGTTTGTTTGTTTTTTTGCAGTTAAGTCACCATTTTCTGTTTCTGTTCTCAGAGCCATTGAGGATTCCATTGAGAAGCTTTCAAAGAGACACAACTACCATATACGTGCCTACGATCCTAAAGGGGGTCTGGACAACGCCCGTCGTTTGACCGGCCACCACGAGACATCCAACATCCACGAGTTCTCTGCTGGCGTGGCCAACCGTGGCGCCAGCATCCGCATTCCCCGTAACGTCGGCCAGGAGAAGAAGGGCTACTTTGAAGACCGCCGTCCGTCAGCCAACTGCGACCCGTACGGCGTTACCGAGGCCCTTATCCGCACCTGTCTGCTGAACGAAGAGGGTGACGAACCCACAGATTACTAAATCCTCAACTCATGGACTGATTCTACTGCCCTCCTCCACCCACTTTTATTTTTACTAGTACTGTATTTTGTTTTCTCTCCAACTAAGATGATTTAAACTCACAATGCTAATGGTTTAAAGTTGGCTGGTCAACTTAAAACATAAAAAGGTGATGAGATTCCAGGTAGTTTTGAGCTGGTGATGTCAGGGTACGTCCTTCCCCGTGTGCTGATCGGGAACGGACTTTTATAACACTGTTTTTATAACCCATGCCACATCGTTCCCTTTGTCTGTCTGTGACTAAAATAAACTAAAGCACAAGGACACCTGCAGAGTAGGGCTGCTAAGGCTGGACGACGTGTGTAAAGTAATAAATGTTCACGTACTGTTAATGAGTGTTGACCTGACTTTTCAACTGTCCAGTGCTCAATGTTACTAACGCTCTCATTTTATGAAGTGTCTATTTTTAAAATGACGCTAAATGTCTTCAAATTCTGACCCTGAGTCAGCTTGTACGGTATACTTGTAGATGTCCCAGACATGTTATAATGTGGTGGATCTTTCTTTAATGCCATTTGTAGATTTCCTCAAGGAGTTTTATCCTTTTGTTAACTACAATATTGTAATGCCACCTGATTTGGTAAAACATACGGTTTACTGAACCTGTGTTTTTTATTGATACACTTAAAAGCATTTATTTTTATCACGGCACGTCTCTTTGACTCTTGACTTTTAGGCTTGAAATGATCCGCTGGGGATTTTTAACCCCTTCCTGAAGTAGAACAAGAGAAGATTGAGTTGTTTACATTTGGAAAGAGGCCGATACAGTTCCAGAGTAGCGTAACGACACATTGGTAAGGCAGGAGTTGCCAGCTTGAGGCCAGAAACGATTTGATTTGGGTGCAGCAGAAAAACCTGGGTGTAGTTTATATTTTTGAAACTTCACTAAAACTTTCCTGCATAGGTTAACAGCTGTGTTAATGCTGCAGGAACATGGAACAGTTATTAGTTGGTTCATTTATGTACTTTTACATTTTCTTTAAAAAGGTGGTTTCACAAAGCTAGGCTGCTCCCCGTATTTCAGAGGAACTGCTTTGGTTTGCGAAAGCTGCCCAAACAGCTGCTGCAGCAGGATTTAATGGTAAACCATAAACCGTTTCAAAGATGATCAGTAAAGGTTGAAGGGATCTTCTAGCCAAGCGCTGCAGTTTCAGCCTGGATAATTTATTGCCAAAAGTTCAACAGAAGCTTTGTTCAGGTCTTTTTTTTTTTTTTTTTTTTTTACCCCGTGGGTAGTAACTGGAAAGTGGTGCACTCACGAGACTGTTATTAGACTCCTTCACTGCAACAGCTTGAGGCCAATATTCTATGTTAAGCAGCTTCACAGCGAGACATGTTGTTATGGCTGGGAACTAGTTATTTTGTCTGTTTCCTTTTAGTAGAAATTTAATTGTTTTATTCATTTATTTTATTTATTTGACGAAATCTGATCTACAAGAGAAAGTTTCTGTATTTTCTTATACCAGATGTCCTCCTGGTCAAACTTTCTTCAGAACTTTTTGGTTTGATTCTGGCAGAAACAGGAACTCAGACATAACTCTCCCGTTTCTGTAAACATGCACCTCTTGTGCTCTCCAATCTGGTTGGGGGAAGGGCCACAGGGTTTGTTTCTGAGACCTTTCCCCTAAATCTTTTCTCTAACTTCTCTGCAGTCTTACCCAGCTTGTTGACGGGCTGAGCCTGGAACAAGTTAACCAATCAAACCGTAAAAGGGCAGGTTTGTTCCTGCGTCAGAGAGGATGGTTGATCTTCAGCCAACATTTTGTTGTTTTTCCTATATTCTTCTGGGCACTTGAACTCCTTAACCTTGTTTACCCGCCTGGTGTGTTCCTGTCATTGCTCCATTTAATTCACAGACTGTGGTTTGACAGTAATCCTTAACAGGCAAGGAAAAAATCCACACTGAGCTTCCAATTTTTAGTTTAAACAATATTTCGGGTTAAATGGGAAAATAGTTGATCTTTACAAGTTGTGCGTGAAGCTGGACACACTCATTTTTGGCAAAAAAAAAAAAAAAAGAAAGATATCAAATGTTTCTCTGTGTTTATAGATTATTTTTTTTCCAAAACCAGCCATTGACTTCTAACCTCTGAGGACTCCCATTATAACTGAGCACACTTCCTTTGAGACAGATTGTAAAAACAGAAGAAAAAAAAATCTAATTTTTGGATTTAGATTCTGATTGGACATCCTGTTCCTTCTAGGTTAATTGCTACTGAAATCATCTTGTGATGAGGGGAGCACTGCCCTGCTGCGGTCTGTAACTGATCCTCCACGACGTTCAAACTAAATTCTCTTCCACTTCCTTTTTTTTTTTTTTTTTGCTTTAACACTCAAATGGGTTAAAATCTGCATGCAGAATCCAAACCTCCGTCCTCTGCCTGGGAAGCGAAGGGAGGGAGACGCCGGACAAAGGATGGAGAAGGATGCTGCCCTGTTGCTATGACAACCACCGAAATGTACAGGCTGGATCATGGTACTCCTTGTGTGTGTGGTGTGAGGGAAAAAATACATATCAGTGCTATGTAAGAAAAATTATGGAAACAACAATGGACTGGGGTCTGACAATTGTAGCTCCTCCCATTACCAAATGATGCATTACGATTCTAGTCAGTTTGCACCTAGTTATTGTTTTGTTTTCATCACATTTTTATCCTTTTTGTTGCAAAATGACAGGTAGAGCAGCAGGATATTAAATGAAAAGAATCTGAGAGGTTTTCACCTTCTAGTCAGTAGAGCGGTGCTAAAATTATTCCAGTTTCTGCTCTGTTGTGTAACACATCATGCTGGTTCAAACCAGAACTGACTCCCCTCTTGACGAGCAGAGGAAGAGATCCATGCTTAAAAATCCAAACGAAGGGGGAATGATGCAGCTTTTGAATATGACTGAAGAGAAAATAATCAGCAGCTTGTTTTTTTTTTGTGCACAAATGCTGCACAGAGAAAACTGTAGAGATCTTTGCTATGCCATAGTTTTGTTTTTTGGCAAAAAGCATAAATAATCTCATTGTAGAGTAGAAGAAAATGACTGGTTGTTTCCCTGAATGAGGTATGACATGTTTTGCAGAAAATCTGAGATAAAACCCTTGTTGGTTTCCAAAACGTGAATCCCGTTTACTGTAGGAGTCGTTAAACTTTCTTCCAAATAAGAAATTCCTTCTTACGTTTTTTTTTTTTTTGCTCAAGCTGAAACCGTTTGCACATGCTCATATTATTACTCTGAAACACATGTTTATACCCAGCTCTGTCTGCAGGGGTAGAGACTAACATAAAAATCTAGCTGTGTGAGTGTGCGGTATTTTTACACAGACAGAAACCGTATCATTAGGAGAGAGCCCTGATTGGCTGAGTGCTGCCGTGTGACAGGGTTCATGCTGGAAGGCCTTCAGCTTCTTTACCTGTGCTGTGATTGGTCCTGCAGCTGCATGGCACAGTGACATAGTTTTGGCAGTGCTGCTGCAGATACTCTGTTATTAAGAAGCTGTCTGAAATGATCAGCTTTTTCAGGTGAGCAGGTTTAATAAGATCAGAAAAGGAAAGCAAAGTTTTAATGAGTTAAATCTGTAATGACATGCAGATGTCTGCGCCGTTTTTGATAAACCGTGGTGATTAACACCTTTAAAGGACGAAGGAAATAACCCAGTGGGTCTAAGAGGAGGTGCCTGAATGTTCTGGCGCTGTGACCTGGTTGGGCCGCTCAGCAGAATCGGCATGTGAGATTTTTTTTTTTTTCACACTTGAATAAACTTTCTTTATGCACAACCACAGGCTCTCCTTTGTTCTTTTGTTACACCAAAACAAATTGTTCATCCACTACAGAATTAGAAATTACCAACATGAACCTTGACTCTTTCCTTCATCAATAGTTCCGGTCACAAACAGTTCTGTTCAGTTCCACCACAGTTCTGAACCGCCTGACAGAGTAAAAAAAGGCCAAAATAAATGCCGGTGCCCTTTCCAGCTCCAAATTCTCAAGATGTTCTCCCCTCCCCCAATGAAAATCTGCTGCTTTATCTGCATGGGCTGTCCCCACCAACACACAACAAAAGATGACCCCCACAAGACCACTTTGGCTGTAATTTTCCATTTCATGATGGGGCATGCAAAATGTAAGAGAAAAAAAACAGAACATGTGTAAAGAGTATTCAGAGGCATTTGTAAAAAAAAAGAATTTTTTTAAAAGATGTAATTTAGGTGCAAAATGTGCAACTAGAAATCATAAAATGTAAAAATTTTACACTTTACATGTTGACGTTTAAAGAAAAACACTGACATGCTAAACGCTGCAAATAGGTAAATGTTTCAGATGGGCCTCGAACCACTCTTATGCAACATGCATGCTCAACGAGCAGCAAAACCAATTCAGTTAATTACTTTATTGGGTTATTAAACAGAGAGCTCGCTACCCAGAGTCAGAGTTACCTTGGGGTTAATTAATTCTTGCACACAACTTAAAGGAATGGTCAGGAGTTTTTTTAAGTGGGGTTCTAGTAAACATCTTACCTGCTGCAGAAATCACTCAGACACAGGCCTAGCTCTGCGAGGCCAAGACCAAAAGGAATCTCTGCTGTCACTCGTTAGATGCATATTCAGACTCACGAGTTGTTGAAAATTAGATTTGTTTGTAGTTTGTTACCTAAAAAAGAAGGTTCATGTTGCAAAATGAATTTAAGTTGAGCAGAGAAAGTAAAGTAGTGTGAAAATGTATAAACGTATTTGATGCAGTATTTGGGGAGTATTTATCATATTTTTATATCCTGTTAGATACTTTATCTGCCAGGTCAAACCTTACATGTTTTTTTCTTGCATTAATTACTACTATGACTGAAAATGACATCAGTTGTAAAATAATTAAAGTCTCCACGTCTAAAAACACTTCAAAACATTTGACTACACCCCAAAAACTCATAAATGTGTACTGGGCCTGATTAGTTAACTTTTTATTACCTTAATTATTATTGTTTAAAATCACAGTTTTTAAATTTACCTCATGTAGATGTAAAATGAAGTCATTTGAATGCTGAAGAGGAAATGTCTCTTCAATGTTGCACTAAACACCAAAATGGTGGATGATCATAAACTCTGTCTTAAACAAAGCCTTTATTACTTATGTCTTTATTAAAAATAAAAATTAAGATTTTAGCATTATCTGTTTGCCAAATTCACCCCTAGGACCACAAATGAAATAAAGTACAAGTGAATTTAAGTGACTGTTGAGTGGGATTGGTCTTTTATCACCCACTGTACGATAAAACTAAATAAACCCTTGAGCACAGATTAAATAAAAAAGAGGATATTTAAAGAGGAGTAAAATCTAAGTATTCAAGTAATGTTTAAAACTGCACTCCAGCAAAAGCCTCATTTTGAGACCTCTGCTATTGTGTACAGTCATGGGGTTTGTGTTATAAAGGCTACACGAGACAGCTGGATGGCGTCACTTTAGAAGTGAAATGAAGTCGGACTTCATGCAATTAGCAAGTCATGTGCCTAACAAACCAATAAAGTGTGTGTGCGTGTGTGTGTGCGCGCACGCGTGTGCGCGCATGTGTTTGTAAAGTTATACAAGCTGCTGCGGTTGTAAAAAAAAAGAAGGAATATTAAAACATCTCTGAAACATAAACTTCTCCCTGTGGTGAGGCAGGATTTCTACGTTCTCCCACCGAGTCGTGATGAACCGAGCCACCATATTCCCTTAAAAGCATGCTTTAGTCTTTGTGATTAGAATCTTCTCAAGATCCTGATTCTCCTCGTGGATTTTCTGATCCTAATTGGATCTGAACACCACAGACCATGTCTGTTAAACCCTAGCCAAACTTCATTCATAAAGCACTTTTTAAAACTGTAGTGTTGGCAACTTCCCCATCCTGGGAGCATTTAAAAAATGCTGAGATGTGTCTTCAGTGTTGCCCTTGCTTGTTGTTTTCACTGACTCTCGGTTCTGTGAATAAAAACATGTTTTATATGTGTTATGGGAACATTTTGCATTTAGATGTAGACATGAAACCAAGAGGCAGCCATTGTCTGAAATTTGTGAAGCTAACCAGAAAGTGACAAAAAATACAGTTCCCCTCCTCATCCACTAGGGGCTGGTACCAGAAAGAAGCAAGTTATCATTGACTCCCTCGTTAAAGGGACTTTACGGAGTTTTGAATTTTTATTCTCGCGATTGCCCCCTCAGGCCAAAAGCGTAACGGCAGCTTCAATAGTAGGCTCGTGCACGAGGCGCTCATGCTGTACGTGCACGCTCCTTAACGAAAATAACAGCTGAGACAGTCAGCTCCGTGTGTGTGTGTGTGTGTGTGTGTGTGTGTGTGGCCCGGAAGACAGAGGACAGGAGAACGCGCAGCTAATTAATTAAATAATTTGGTTCTGTACCTTTCTCTTCAGCACAGCTGACAAAGGTTTATGATGGGTCAGTACTCCTGCATGCTCTTGAAAAATTGTTCCAAAACGAAAGTTGAACCCACATTTTTTTATCTGTGACTTTAATGCCGTTTGGCAAGTCTCAAATAAAAATTTGGGCATCTTACAGTAAAAAATATACCATTAATGTAAAAAATAAACTAAATAAATTAAGTTCACATCCAGAATCGAACCCAGATCTTCTGCACAAGAGTCCAACATCTTTTGAGGTGAGCTATAGCACCAGTAATGTTTCATTGGGCTTCCCAATTACACAAGGCATTTTATAAATAAAGCTTTGATTGATTTGATTGATTAATTAAATGAGTGATCCGCTCAGCTCAGAGCTCCAATCACAGAGCTCTATCCGCTTTGTGGGCCAATCAGGGCCCACTATTCATCTGGTGGTGGTGGTGGTGGTGGTAGTGTGTGTGTGTGTGTGTGTGTGGGGGGGGGGGGGGGGGGGGGTGATGCAAAAGAGTGGAATAAGATGGCTACAGCTTGTTTTAAAAGGCTTTGCGTCCGTTTTGTACTATTTGGACTTGGGCTTTATTAGAATCAGGAACAGATAGATTTAATTACCGTAGGTCCTTTGTTTAGAAAAAAAATGTATTTTTGTCTTCTTCCACAGCGGACCATTTGTTTACCAACATCTGTTGCGGTGGGTACGTCACGTTGTTCATTGTCCAGTAGCATGCGGAGATCGTTTGAAAGACAACGGTAGAACACGCCCCACGACCAAGAGCCGTCAATGGAGTGTTGCTTAGTCTGGCTGGCCACACTAGCTAATTTAGATTAAAATTCATTTAAAAACATGGCAAAATGGCATTATGTTTCATTTTATTGTCTCATGGTGGTATCATGGTGCTAAATGTGGATGTAAATTCTACATATTACATCTGATCTCCAAATCTAACAAACTTTGAATAGATTAGAACATTCAGAAACTCTTTGTTTTTTTATGACTCAGCACAAAATCCTGGAATACATTTTTTAAATGACACTTGAAATGATTTGGTTTCACATAAGCTCTCAACCAAACTTCTTTTGGACCTTTGGCTTAATTCTTACAGGACAGTGGCAATTTTGGTTACATTTTTTTAACCTTACATGTGATAATTTTTTAAAAACTTTTTAAAATATTAAGTTGAAAATCACTCCAATATTTGGTCAGAATCTTGTTCCAAACACAAGTCCCATCATCACCTTAGCTCCGCCTACAGAGAACAATAAGTTAGATGTTTAACTCATGAACATCACACGTTGACCCTCATGACCATTAAGTCTTTTACATGTTTCAGATAATCATGAGGTTACTGGCTATCAAGGTGTGTGAAGCAGATATCGTTGCTTGCAGCCAGGGCCGGCCCAAGCTTTTGTTGGGACCTAAGCAGGTGTTCCTCTGGGGCCCCTCATACCATCAAGTCAAAACCAGATGATTCATCGTTTCTTGGCTACACTATAGCCCCCTTCAGACAGGCCATGAAAAACGGAAATGTTCCGGACTCTGTCCGTAAGACCTTTGTGTCTGAATACAAACATCCGGATAACGTGTTCCGGAATTTAACCGGACGAAGCCCCTAGTAACAGGTCCGGACTTGTTACGGACAGGGTGGCTGCTTCAGACTGGTGAGGTAGCATTCCGGACAAGGGGGAGGGGGAGGAGGAAGGGGAGGAGGAGGGGACTGGGGGACGCTGTGTGCACCTAGATAGCCCGCTGCTGTAGCATGCGGCGAACCACGGCAGCTCGCCTCCTACAGTACCGCCTAGACGCGCGACTGAGCGCTTCACACCGCTTCAGTGATTCCTTTAACCATTGAGCTTCATCATCCAGGTCGCTTATGCGTCTTCGTGTGCGCAGAATTATGCTTAAGCGCCTCGTGATTTTTATCTTGAGAGGCGCTATAGCAATGATATTTTCTTCTTCTTCTTAACATGAGTCCGATCCCCCCCGCCGCCGTCAGACATCTGGAACTTTTCCCTGCTGTGTGAACGCAGCCGAAAGGACAAGTTCCGGTACAAAAGTGGTGTGTCTGAAAACACAGTTCGGTTAAAAACCGGATTGAATTGTCCACAAATGTTCCAGAATGTCTGTCTGAAAAGGGCTTATGTGTGTAAGACACACACACTCAGTCACATATATTTAGTAATTTAAGTATTTCATACAAGTGTTATTATCTACGTTGATATTACAGGAGTAGCAGTTAGTTTGCATTTTGAATTGTTGAGTGTCAAGAGTGGTGAATTAACTCAACTATTTTAAAATAACATCAGCAGACAAACACTTAACTTACAGTAAACAAGCAAAGTTTACTATCTTTTGTTCTTTCTCATGCTGTTTTGGTGCTCTTGTAGCCCCCCTGGTGGTGTGAGGCCCCAAGCAGTTGCTTAACTCGTCTAGGGCCGGCTCCTCTTGCAGCTTTCATATTTGCTGTTACTCATCCTTGTTTGCTTCCTTGTAGTCATCATAAGCTCCTGAACAAGCAATAAATGCAATCATATCAGGACTAATTTACTAAATATAATATTAATGACACTGTACATGTACAATAAAGATACCAACTGGTTTGCACAAAATTTTAAACAATTATTTTGCTGATTTGAAAGCAACGTGACAGAAATGTAGTGAAATGACATTTAGATTTTTGAAGTTTCTTCTTTCACAAGAATTAAATTTTTATGTCTGATCTGATTCAGATCATCAGTGTTTGGGATTTTTTTTTTTCACTTCAAATTCAAATTCAAAAATACTTTATTAATCCCAGAGGGCAATTGATTCTTGTTGCTTGTTATGTCAAAATAAATTTCAGGTGAGAGATCATAGATATTATTTTGAAGATATGCATGAAATTGAGCCTGAAAGTATCGTGCATTCATTGAACAGCTCAGCTCCGCTCCCCTCCCCATCATGCTCTTCTCTGCCCTGTCGGAACAAACACAGCAAGGAGGATATTAAAACCTGGCTGAACTCATTAAGCAAGCAACCCAAGTAAAGCCAGTTAGTTAAGTTAGGGAACGGCCACTACCTTAAACTCACTCAGGACAAAAATGGGCGGCTCTGTCCTCTGCCTGTCCACCCATGTCCTTCTAGTTCTCTCCAGCTGAGAAAGGAGAAGCCTGTTTTTCAGAACCACACTGAACACCCCTCGTGACCTTTCAGGACTGACAATGACCTGTTTTATCAACACACACACACACACACACACACACACACACACACACACACACACACACACACACACACACACGCGCGCGCGCACGCACGCACGCACGCACGCACACACACACAGCCTGTTATCCAGAGCTCTCTCATTGAAATTAGTTTATAAAACGATTTGATTAAAAAACTAAAAGGATCAACAAATGATTATGTTTGATTTGGGGTTTCGATAAGGATCAGGCTGGCTGGTAAACTGGATTATTATATTATTTCATCTTGACTCTGAATGCTTTGGCTTTGAGGGACAGATAGGGTGAGTTCTGTAACATAAGCAGTGACAGAGTTCAGATGTGTGGATTAAATGTTCCCGCACTTCTGGTTTGTTACAAAGTTTGTGTAAGCTGTACAAAACCAGAAACGTAGTTTCAGCAGCACAGTTCACATGAAGACAACTGCAAAACAGTCCATTAGATAAGGTAGAAGGAAGTAAGTTTTTATTTCACCTTGCAGGATTAATAAAGGCAAAGACAAGCAGATCCTGTACTGTTGGTCATGCGTGGGTGCCACCATTTCTGAGTCATTTTAACCAGATCATCAAGTTCAGACAGAAGTGGTCTGAGAACACTCAGCTGTGTGAAGAGGGAACAGTCAGTATCATGAAGGTTACAAAGATGCTGTAAATCCTGCATTTACTCACTGATGTTTAACTCCTCGGGGATCGTGTAATCTGTGATGTGTGAGGTTCACGTGGAATCTGATTTTACGTACATGATTTGAAGCTGCTGGCTTTTGTCCTTATTTACGTTTTAATCATGCTTTACTTATTGATTATTGTGATGGCCATGAGCTCAGGTAGAAGGCACATTTGAATTTAATTATCCTGTTTATGGTGTTTTGTTTTGGCTTATTTCTTTATTTATTTTTTGTTCGTTTTTAAAGACCAAATTCATTCGTTTTTTTCAACACATTTGCAGAGGTCTCTACTATTAATGAATGCTTTGTGAGTCTATCTCTGTGGGGAATAAAACTCTTGTGCTCCTGTTACAAGAACTACAAGTTGAAGTCTTGTTTCTTGATATTTGGAGTTCTTGCCTCTGATTGGCTAACAGCAACACGAGTCTACCATGGCCGTTTCTCAATACTTATCTGAACTTGTGTTCTCATGTCCTTGTGAAACTTCATCAATGATGGTCCAAGTACTGCTCCAATAAAAGTACCTATCATGGCAAGTTCCCTCAAAGTTCCCAGATGTTTTCTTGCTTTCTCTATTGTATTGAGAGTGCATTGATGCATCCTTTTGTGGACTTGTGACAGCAAGGTATCCCATAATGCATTATGCCGCTAACCGTTATACTGCGAACGGCAGAAGAGAAAGCTCATAACTGTAGTGTTTTATAGCAGAATTACAAATAAACAAATATAAAGTTGTCTAATTGTAAATAATTGTGTGTAACCTGTACATTTTTCTGTGTGCATTTGTTTTTTTTTCTTTCAGGCTCTTCACAATCCCTTAAAATGCTAATTGGCTAACTCACTATCAAAAAAAGCAGTGTTGCTTTGTTTTGATGAAAAAAAAGCTTTTTTCTTCATTTAACAGTGGGAAATGCCAGTGTTTTATCGATTTTGATCAAAAGTCGACTAAAATTTGTACAAACAATATGTATTTATTGTTATTTTGATATTTGAGGCACAGATTTTTATTTTTATGTTGGGTTGTTTTTTTTAGAAACAAGCAGTGCTTGTTGCCTTAACACAATGGTATGGTTTTGTTCCAAATGCCGTCCTCATGCTCCCAAGGTAGAAAGAACTTTGTGATGTCCTTACCAAGAACATATTTGTCAAGTACACAAGAACATACTATCATACTTGGGTATTGAGAAACAGCCACTGACTCTGTTTGCTTTGCAACGTTGATGTTTTACCTCCACAAATAACACAAGCCTGAAGGAGTTCTGCTGTGTTGTATAGTCGCTAATGCTAATGCTAATAGTTAGCTTTTACTAGCCAAAACGTGCTCTGCTCTCTCCTGGAGGCTAAATCAACAATGTGACGTAAATATGTGTGACTTTTTCTGACTCAACAAGTGTCCCACTGTCTATTTTCTATTGCCAGCTAATGCAGGAAATAGGAGTAGAAGACCATTTTTACTTTGAGAATTGAGAGTAATGGAAATTTCAACATATACAGCTGCAAGGTAAAACAAAGTTTTCAATAAATAAACAATTTTTTTGATTAGGAAAATTCATGATGGATGGTGCAGGACTATGCTGGAACCAGCCACCAGGGAGCACCTGTTTTGGTCCAACTTCCAGTTTATTTTGAAATTGTGTCAACGATTAGAAATCAAAATACTGAAACATTAGTTGGAGTGTGCATATTTTCTGTGCATTTCCAGTGTGTTTACACTGGTAGCTAATGTGTTTGACTAGTGTACAGAAGTTAGAGAGGATTGTGCAGTATTTAAAATTTTATTATAAAGCTGGTCCAACTGCTAATGATAATACTTCACAATCTGCCAACTGAGTTAAACGTTTATTTGTCAGTGGTAATAGAAAATGTGGGATTATTTTCTTCCATATTTCAGATCAATTTAAGCAAATTTTTACTTTGTCTGGATCTGGAACAAGCTGTCACCTAAGTCCTTACAAGAACATTTCTGTAAAAAATATAATTTTAATTTAATGTTTTAAAATATCTTTTGTTCAGTTAAAAATTGAAAATGTCAAAAATGTGTGCGATAGAACAATAATATTTAACCTGGTGTAGAGTAAATGTAAAAATCTAAATGTATTTTTGAACTGATTTTATAATGTAACAAAAGTACTCATTACTCCAATAAAAGATGTTATGTTATACATATGTAAAACAGCATGACACTCAAATCAATGACATTTTTAAAGCAAACACCTTTGATCATTTTATTTTAGAATCTCTCACGATTTTTTGTCACTCCAGAAATCTCTGCACTCTGCCACTAATCGCTGTTCTCATCAAGCACAAATTTAAATCACACAAACAGATTTCCTGCTGTACTTGCATAATGTCCAACAGCATGTCAGAGTCAGAGAACCATCTCACAGAGACTAAACGCACACAGCCACGGCCCCAAAACTCTAGAAAACATGACACTGATGTGCGAAATAATCTGGAAACACCCTAAAAATTACGTCTCCAAAATGAGACAAATATATTTTGTCACACCATAAAAAACTAAAACAATTCTATTCTGTCTGCCCTGCCCTGCATTTGCGGCACTGTTTTTCTTTTTTTTATAAACAAAAATAAAAATCCCTGAAAATGCACAGATGACAACATGTTAATCACTCACCAAGGCCTCCCTCTCAACATGACATTTAAGGATGATTGCGCGAAGGCAGTGTCCTTTCCACCACCCTCCTCCTAGATTAAAGGCTGTTCATGTATCTGATGGAGCTACAGCAAGTTTCTTACTACTATTCATCTGTTCCAAGGGTTTAATCCCAGCAAATCCTTCATTTTCCTCACTCACTCACACACACACACACACACACACACACACACGCACACGCACACGCACACACACACACACACACACACACACACACACACACACTGGCTCAAGCCCTAGTGGGGGCAAACTCAAGTCTAGTAAACAAATGAACTGAGTGCAAAAACTGCTGTGTCACCAAAGTAAAATGATTGTCTTCTAATCCAGAGGCTGTAATCAAAACAGAATGATGCACATCAGGCTGAATGACGCGTTTTCCCATACGGCCGTGTTCCTGGTGTCCGTCTGCGACCTGCTCAAAGTAACAGGATCACAGCGGTGCAGGGCAGAGTTTTCGGAGAGGTCATAAAGCTGCAGAAGCCCAGCAGGCTGCTGACACACCAGTGGTTAGGCAGATGTCTGTCTACGTTGAAGCCAAGAAACAAGTGTGTGGATGCAACACACTTAAGTAGAAAGTGCAATAAGGCTGTCCTGAAGTGAGTATGTGAATATCTGTTAACTAGAGTGGGTTTCAAATTTGATGTTCATGAATCTTAAATGACAAGAAAACGCTTATGTTTGACAGGCAGCAAAGGCTACTTTAGGTTTGTGTGAAAACACGTAGAGGACTCCAGCTGCTTGTCTCATAAAGTTACATCATCAAGCCAGACAAGGAGAAGAAACAGAAGAAGAAAATGAAACAATCTTTATATAGCACCTCTCAAGATAAAAAAATCCCCCAAAAATAAAATGGCTGTTAGTTTAGCGAGCTTCGCATCCTTCTACCAGGATTAAGGAACATTAAACATGGAGAAAACCCCTATAAATCTGGCGATAGTAACAACTGTGGGGGAGAAGAGATTCTGCGGTGACATTATATACAACCTCTGTTTTGTACTCTCTTAATTGTGAATTTTTACAAACTAATAAATCACAAAATATGTGACAGACATAGTCAAAACCATCGACATATATACTGGACAATTCATTTCCATAGGCTCCAATAACACGTTTTTGAGGCTAAATGGGAGGTGGCCACCACCACCATTTTGACCGTGTCACAGGTACCGTCAAGCCCAGACAATTCAACAAAAGGGAAGAGAGGTGGAGCTGAGGGTGTGGCTGTAAGGCTGGGATCAACTGACAACACCCGGTCAAACTAGCTACAAGCTAACCTGAAGCTAACCCAAAGCTAACGCAGAGGTGGGAGCTAAGCTAACGGAGGTAGCAACCTAGCTACAACTGGAGTTAACTATGCACAACACCAGAGCTTCTGAGTCAGAGATACGCTGGGCTTACCGCTGGGTAAAACCGGGTGGAACACAGAGGTCTCCCGAAAGCTGCTGAAAGCCAGCAGCCCGCGCAGCAGACAGAAGCCGCAATCAGACAGAGATGCGCTGAGCTACGAGGAGGGGAGTACCACAAGCCGGCTGGCAGCCCGTGCAGCAGACAGAAGCCGCGATCAGACAGAGATGCGCCGAGCTGCGGGGAGGGGAGAAAGGGTGGAAAACATCGGTCTCCCGAGAGCTCCACAAGCCGATAGTCGGAACCCAGCTCCACCAACATGTTATATTTCAACCCATTATCTAAAGTGCAGCATTATGTTAAATGCACTGGGTTTAACTAACTAACTAACTAACTAACTAACTAACTAACTAACTAACTAACTAACTAAAACTTTATTTATATAGCGCCTTCACATGGCCCAAGGACCAAACAAAGCGCTGCACAGCAGAAATAAGCATTAAGAAAATAAAAAATAAAAGCATATAAAACCATTTAAAACCAGCAAAAACATGCAGATAAAATCTAGGTGGGGCAGCAAGAAGTGCAAAGCCAACAGTTAACAGGACTCTATTACCCTATTACATTTAAATTTCATGGTTAAACAGTACATGTTAAAATCTAAGCTCAGCTCGGCAGTGACCTAAAATACATAAATATAATTTTACTTACCGAAATAAATGAAGTGGAGACTCCTTGGATGCTCTATTAGTGCAATTAATGCCACAGCAAGTCATTTTGTCCAACAATTGCACAAATAATATCCATAAAAGAATACACAAACACAGAGACTCAAAATCCTGGAACAGTTTCCAAGCCAGACCGAGGCTCTACTCGTTTAATACACTTAAACAGAAGAGTGAGAAAAAAAATTCACCCTAACCCTCAGAGTTGTCATGAGTGTAAACTAGATAATTTAAACCAAAAACATGTTTTGGTACCAGGCTGTAAACATGTTTATTTCTGCTGTGAAATTGGTAGTTTTAACATGGGAGTCAATGAGGATTTGCTCGCTTCTGACACCAGCCCCCAGCGGATGAGGGTGGAACTGCAATTTTTGGTACTTCCAGGTTGGCCTCAATTTTTGAGCCACATTGTGGGGGCTTGGTCAAAACACACATCCTTATTTTTGGTTTAAATTGCAGTACAGCACATATGTGATTCAGGGACTTTTATAAACCTGTTCATTTACATGTTACTTCATTTTACTTTATTTATTTTTTGCTCAGGGGCCCATGAACCAAGGGGAGGGGAGGAGACTTAGACTCCTCATAGAATTTACTTTTTGGAGAAGTGATGTGCTAAACACCAGATTCAACTATTCAAGTTGTACATCCTGGCTCCTGCCAGAGAATGCTGCTGTTGTGCCCTTGGGCAAGACACTTAACCCACCTTGCCTGCTGATGGTGGACGGGGGGACTGGTGGTGCCATTGTATGGCAGGCCTCGCCTCTGTCAGTGCGCCCTAGGGCAGCTGTGGCTACATTGTGGCTCATCACCACCAGAGTGTGAATCTGTGTGAATGGATGGATGACTAATTGTGTTATGGTGCGTCTTGGGGGGTTGTAGAACCCTAAGAAGGCACTAAATGCAGGCCATTTCACATGGTTTTTAAACTTAACAGCATAAATGCACCACTTTCATTGCATCCAAGGAAGATGTTTGGAAGGACACCCTAATGCCAATTTTTTTTATTGTGATTTGTCTTATAAAATAAAGTTTGCATGAATTGCTGTGTTGTAGTTGTGTTTTGTGTTTTTTTTTTTTTAGTTTCACAGCAGCAATACACGTAGGGCTTTACTGACTTTGGACTTGTCATGAAATCTTTACCTAGGGTTCTACAAGTTCTACAAATTCAAATTCCAGTATGGCAGGTTTTGGTACGATAACACCACATCATTCAGAGGTTGGTGAAACCGTTCAACCCACCACTCCTCATGGGAGCTCATTTTTGTTTCTAAATGCAACTGATGATTACAATTCCATGGAAAACATTTGATGTCAGTTAAACTATTAAAGTTATGACAGTTTTCGTGAGTCACGTCTCTGGATATATTAGCTAGAGTTATTGTTGCAGGAAGGTGTGCTTGTTCAAACAGGATTAATAAGTCAACAGTTTTGCTAAATAATCATTTGACTTCCGGTTGCCTTTCTTAAATCTCTCTTAAATTTACAGAAACAAACCAGAAATCAATGTTGTTCCAAAAATCAAGTTAATCTCTGATCACACAAAAATGACCACTGATGAGATGTTTGGTTTCGTGTGACCATTGCATTCTTGTTGAATTGTGTGAACCATGAAAGGCGCTGTCTACGGACGACTGATCTTTCTCTCACAAGCTGTTTAACAGGATTCAAGTTTTAAAGAATGACGTGAAGGAATCCAGCTTCGTGTTTGAGATTCCTAAAACAAGAAAGACAAAACAATTGCCCAGTTAAAAACATGAAAACAACGTCAGACGAGTTTTAATTTTAGCAAGACTGGCATTTTTGTGGGTGAGAGAAACTCATTCAAAAAAGAAAAAGAAAAAGAAGCTAGTTCTTGCTATCTAGCAGCTTGATCCATTTCTATGGATGCTACTTATCTCCCTCAAGTTCAGTGAAGCATAGGCAAAACAATGTCTATTTAGCTCTTTCCTTTTTTTCTGTGGTTTGGCAATCCTGAAACGTTATTGCGAAAATAAACTCTTAAAATCATTAAATTTTAAAAGATCATTCTTGTCAACAGTCACAACATCAACATGATATAGCAGCTACTCATGGGGGTGTATACCGAGGCACTTATTGGCATATGGTGTCCTGGTGTATTATGTATTATACCTAATAACATGTATTATAGAGTAACGTTTATTACATATTATACCTAATAAAATGTATTATGGAGTAAAGTTTATTACATATTATTCCTAATAACATGTATTATAGAGTAAAGTTTATTACGTATATACCTAATAACATGTATTATGGAATAACATTTATTACGTATTATACCTAATAACATGCATTATAGAGTAACATTTATTACATAATATACCCAATTACATGTATTATAGAGTAACATTTATTACTTATTATACCTAATAACATGTATTATAGAGTAACACGTATTACGTATTATACCTAATAAAATGTATTATAGAATAACATTTATTATGTATTATACCTAATAACATGTATTATAGAATAACATTTATTACATATTATACCTAATTACATGTATTATAGAGTAACATTTATTACTTATTATACCTAATAACATGTATTATAGAGTAACACGTATTACGTATTATACCTAATGACATTTATTATAGAATAACATTTATTACATATTATACCTAATAACATGTATTATAGGGTAACATTTGTTACGTATTATACCTAATAACATGTATTATATAGTAGCACGTATTACGTATTATACCTAATAACATGTATTATAGAATAGCATTTATTACGTATTATGCCTAAAAACATGTATTATAGAATTACATTTATTACGTATTATACCTAATATCATGTATTATAGGTTAACATTTATTGCGTTTTATACCTAATAACATGTATTATAGAGTAACACGTGTTACGTATTATACCAAATAAAATATATTATAGAATAACATTTATTATGTATTATACCTAATAACATGTATTGTAGAATAACATTTATTATGTATTATACCTAATAACATGTATTATAGGGTAACATTTATTACGTATTATACCTAATAACAT